TTGCAATAGTCCAGCCTGGACAGAACAAGAGCTTGAACAAGGAGTTGTGAAGCATGTTTTATTATATATATATATAATTTTTTTTTTTTTTTTTTATATGGTTCTTTTCACTATAACTTTTATTTGAATTGTAATTGTATTATCTATAACTCCTGGCTGTTAAGTCAAAGCAGCTTGTGATGTTTCTGGTCTTTGGTCTACTAATTCAAATATTTTTTCTGAACTATGTATATTCATTTGCAGCTATTCTAAAAAGCCAGTTTTAATACTAATGGATTTCAGTTGAAAATGGCATTTGTTTTAGTTCACTGTATTACAGCTGATAGGTCTGTGGTAAGTGTTTAGTCATCAGACGCTTCCGGTGTGGACAGTGTTAGCGAATGAATTTCAGGACTTATTTCATCTGCACTTTCTTTATTCCGTCATTGATTTGTGTGCTTTCTCTTCCACCAGCTCATCTACATGATGGCTACCACGTATAACTTTGCTGTTTTGAAGTTTAAGAGTCGAGAGGACTGCTGCACTAAATTTTAACGCAGTTGCATGAAAGTGCCTAGAATGAGCAGCCACTGACAATATGGACTAAAATAATAGAAGCGAGAGAACCCTTTGATTGCTTTGACATGTAATGTGTAAATATAGGACTGTACACAGATGTAGCGTTTGGACGCCGGTGCTGCCCGTGTCTGTAAACATGCCTTTGCCTTCGTTTCTGCAACCACTAGAAAACATTCATTTGAAGCCTGACACAAAGTCTCTTTAAATTCCTCCTACAATGTCGTTGTCTAAAGTATGAAATAGCTAAAGAACAGACGCACAGCGTAACAGAGAAAAGTATTTTTCCCATTCATTTTCTCAATAGAGATGCTGGAAAATTATGATCTATCAATCAAACCAACCATGTGATTCATGAAATGCAATTCAAAGCAGAAAAACTAAGATTGAAGACAGAACAATAGGAAAACTTGTATTTGACGTTAATTTAAAAAAATTTAAGTTTTGCCCACCAGTCAAAAGTTAAGTTAAAGTTAATGTTTTAAAACATGCCTTTGCCTTCGTTTCTGCAACCACTAGAAAACATTCATTTGAAGCCTGACACAAAGTCTCTTTAAATTCCTCCTACAATGTCGTTGTCTAAAGTATGAAATAGCTAAAGAACAGACGCACAGCGTAACAGAGAAAAGTATTTTTCCCATTTTCTTTCTCAATAGAGATGCTGGAAAATTATGATCTATCAATCAAACCAACCATGTGATTCATGAAATGCAATTCAAAGCAGAAAAACTAAGATTGAAGACAGAACAATAGGAAAACTTGTATTTGACGTTAATTAAAAAAAAAAAGTTTTGCCCACCAGTCAAAAGTTAAGTTAAAGTTAATGTTTTAAAATGCATATTAGAAGAAATCATTGTGATATGCTGATTCGGTGCTCATTATTTTATCAGTTTTGATTGATCAGTGTTGAAAACAGTTGTGCTGCTTCATATTTTAGTGGAAACTGTGATACATTTTATTTTTCAGGATTCTTTGATGAATAGAATGTTCAAAAGAACAGCATTTATTTGAACTGGAAATCTTTGCAACATTATAAATGTCTTTACTGTCACTTTTGATCAATTTAATACACCATTGTAGGGCTGGGCGATTTGGCAAAAAATTTAATTCTCGATTTTTCCAGAGCGTTTGACCGATTCTCGATTTTTTACGATTTTTAAATAGTCAACTTAAAAATGTAACTACAACATGATTCAAATGATCTTTTTCTTTATTAACCCTCTATTTAAAGAAAATTCTATTCCAAGTGCAGCACACATGAAGTTGTCAACGACGTAAATGTTAAACAAATCACTTGTTAAGTATCTTTGCAGAAAAGATGCATGAACTACAACTACATATTGTACAAACTTGTCTTAAACATAATATATGTTTATATATTATATATGTATGTCAAGGTAATTCAAATTCAAAATGACTGAAGATATAACACCAGTAGACTATTATTAACTATAAATGTTCTATAAAAACAACAGCAGCTTTCAGTCTGTCACAATGATGCAAACATGAAATATCAGACATACAGTAGTTGCAGTTTTTTATTAGCTTGCGCTGCTTGTTTGTTCTGTGTAAACATGGACTGTTTGACTGTTGCGCTCGCGTCTCTTGCAGCGTCTCATGCATGAAACGGCAGTCTAAAAACACGGCGCTCAAGTTAAAAGAAGTTCACTCCCATCTTCTTGCATGTTTTTCCTATTCCACTGCCCGCGTCGCATCTCTGTCAACACAAAAGCGCATTCTGTTTATGGTCCTTCACAGAGCGCATACACGTGAGCAGTTAATCACGTGCGCCGACATGCGGTCGGATCGTTCTTTTCTCTTAATGTTATCACCGGCATATTCTCAAAGTGTCTAATTCTAACGTTTGGTAATATTTCTATTCAAAATCGCGATTCCTTGATTTCTAAAAAATAAAATCGTGGCAAAACATTAAATTCTAATTAATCGATAAAATCAGAAAAATCGCCCAGCCTAACATCATTGATAAATAAAAGTATTAATTAATTTTTTTATGTATTACTTACAAAAATATTGTGCAGCACGACGATAATCAGAAATGTTTCTTGAGCAGCAAATCAGCATATTAGAATGATTTCTGAAGATCATGTGACACTGAAGACTGGAGTAATGATGCTGAAAATACAGCTGCGCATCACAGAAATAAATTATATTTTAACCTATATTCACATAGAAAACAGCTATTTTAAACAGTAATAATATTTCACAATTTTTACTGTATTTTTGATCAAATAAATGCAGCCTTTCTGAGCAGAAGAGACTTCTTTAAAAACATTTTAAAAAATCACAATTATTCCAATATTTTGACTGGTGTGGTGTATAAAATATAGAATGATTTCTCTGATTGAATTATTGTCTTTTCAGGAATTTAAGCAAATAACTTACAAACATCTAAAAACACATCCGCTATGAGCTCTGAGGTTTAATGTCTTTATGGAGAAAATGCATGTGGTTTTTGCTTCTAGAATCTGTTCTGTTTTATTGGAGGAAAGTCTATATTTTTTCTAAAGACCTAATTTTTCTGAAGTTTGCCAATTGTGCCAGAGAGCCTTCCAGTGTTTTCACTGTGTTTTCTTCCTTCAGACCTGTTTACAGTTTTCAGTGTTGTTTTGATCATTTCTACTCATTTGTTTGAAGCAGTATTATGAAGATTGTTGGCATTTTTAATCTCTTGCGAAGTATTAAAAACAGACTCGCTAGATGTCAGTGTACAGCTTCACATCTAACCTAGTTCTATTGTTTGCATAAATATGATTTGAATAATATGATTTATGGTACTGCTATTTTAAACACAGACCTTTCACTGTCAACAGAGTGAAAAAAAAAACATATAAACTTATAAGTAAATAATTCTTAAAACATAAATATTAAGTTGCATTATCTGTATGATCTGATTTTATTCAAAACTGCATTTATATTATTATCAGAACGCAATACAGCAGGTCCTTTCATGTTTTATTTTATGATTTGCTCATAACAATGTCTGCTTTACAATTAATAAATAAACAAAAACATCCGTCAGTAGGAACGACCTATGTGTGATTTGATTACATAACAACACAAACATGATAATTGAGAAAATTGTGGACCAGAAGCGCATGGGCTTGTGCTGAACACTTGATTATATGATTTAACTTTTGAATTAAACTCATATGGTTTAAAACGCATGATTTCAGCGCGATTAACATGATAATCAGAACCAAAACAGAAGTTTTTTAGCAGGTCCGAGTTGTAATGGTGCAGCTCTATTCTGGAAAAGGGGACGGGGAGCAGCAGCTCATTTGCATTTAAAGAGACAGGCCCGAAAAACAGCGTGTTTCTGCTTCCACTCAAAATAGGCATTTTCAAAATGATATAATAAATGATCTGTGGAGTTTTTTGAGCTGAAACTTCACAGACACATTCTGGGGACACCAGACACTTATATTATATATTGTAAAAAGGGGCATAATATGTCTCCTTTAACATCTGGAGAAGACAAAAGCTGTGTGTTTGTAAGAAAAAAAAGATTACTTGTGGATTATTGTGATGTTTTTATCAGCTGTTTGGACTCTCCTTCTGACGGCACCCATTCACTGCAGAGCATCCATTGCTGAGACACTGATGCAATGCTACATTTCTCCAAATCTGATGAAGAAACAAACTCACACCCACAGCGCCGTTATTGTGTTTTCGCAAGCGACAACGGTGTAACAGCTCTAATGCCATGGCGAAAGTTTGAGCAAAACACACTGTTCTGTGTTTGGCTGCACAGACTAGAGTCCCAGCCTCAGAGGAGACAACAGAGCAGTGCATTTATTGATTTATTTACTGTATATTGCTGCTGCCACACTGATCTAAAATAAACAAGCGATTTATTTCCCAGCTGTTTACCTTCACAAACAAAACACTTGTGGATTATTGTGATGTTTTTATCAGCTGTTTGGACTCTCATTCTGACGGCACCCATTCACTGCAGAGCATCCATTGCTGAGACACTGATGCAATGCTACATTTCTCCAAATCTGATGAAGAAACAAACTCATCCTGATCTCGGATGGCCTGAGAGTGAGCACATTTTTAGAAAGTTTTTGGGTGAATTAATAAGGTCAAGATCTTTAATGTTTTTTTCTGGACGTGATGCTGCTTGTATCACAGGTTCACATGTGAATGTGACTCTCGGTTATTTTACACCCAGATCCAACATTATTGACTTAACATTCATCTTACATGATTGATTTAATATTCCTCTAGGATTGTGGTGCCTGTAGTTTTTCCTTTATAAAAATAAACCTACTTTGTGTACAAATGATCCTCAGTGGTCTTTATTGAGCGTTCGTCTGGGGTTTCAGTTTGTGTCATGCTGTGTGTTTTTCATACTAACCCTCATTTCAAGCTTGGCTTTGCTCCGCTGACATCCTCTCGTTCCCTCACACCCCAGCGTCCTGTGCATATGAATGTGTATTCAATATGTATTAATGTTCATTCGTTTGTAGTTGTTTGTACACACTAAAGGAATAGTCTGGCTAGAAATGAACATTTACTCACTCTCATGTTGTTTCAAAGCCTGCGCTGTTATTATTGACTGTGCTGCAACACAAAAGGAGCTCTTTTCCATTCATAGTGAGCACATGTAGTGCATAACGAATTCAGTTTCAGCATTTAAATTGCTCAAAACATCATAATATGACTTCAGAAGACATGGAATATAATGTGCAAGTCTTATGTGCAACTGTTATGACACTTTTTTACTTTTTTGTTTTTGAATTCAAGAGATTTATTATTGTATTTGTAGCAAGGCCATTCACATTCTTAAATTCACTCCAAAAACCCTGTGAATATTAAATTATGATGACTATTTATAAGTAGCAAAAGTCTCACGTTATTACAATTACTACAAAACTATTTTTGTTTTTTCATCACAAACTGTATGATCACACAGCTCTTTATTATAAAGTTGGATAAGTATGAACCAGGGTTGTTATAGTTAACAAAAAAATAAATAAAAAATAAACTTTAGCTGAAATGAAATAAAATATTAAAAAGGTGTTTTATTTAGCTAGTTGCCAAGGCAACATTGCTCATTTTCATTTAGTGTAACTTGACATACTAAAATAAAATCAAAGAAAATTAAATTATAATAAAAACTAGAAAAATAAATAAATGTTATTAAAAACTCTATTTAACTCCAAAAAAGAAAACAAATAAAAGTGACAAAAACACAACAAAACAACTCAAACTTTTTAAAAATAAAAACAAAAAATATAAATGAAGAAATCGAAATGTATGTTTTTGTCATTTTTATTGTTTTTTGTTTTTATTAATTTGTATTTCTTATTTCTAGTTTTTCTTATTTTGTTTTAAGTAATTTTTGTTTTAGTTACTTTATTACATCAAGTTAAACTATTATGTAATCTTTATTATGTAATGTTACTTGAAATAAAATAATTTTTAGATGAAATAAAGTTTTGTTTTATTTCAGCTAGTTTTCAAGACATTTCTCGTGTTCATTTTTTTAACTTGATGTACTAAACTAAAACAGAAATTAAATTAAATAAAGTTATGAAAATTAGAAATAAGAAGTAAAATAAATGGGAAATAAAAAATTATAAAAAAAATGTTTTTAATTTTTAATAGTTTTTTTTGTTTTTGTTTTTATGTTAGTTTTTATAAAAAAAAATTCTTATTTCATTTCTTATTTTTAGTTTTTATTATTATTTAATGAAATTGTTATTAAGTTTGAGTTTTTTTAGTACATTAAGTTAAACTAAATGAAAATGAGAAGTTATAGGCAACCAGCTTTAAATGTTTTAACTTTTCACTATTGTTTATTTAAAACAGAAATGTAAAAATATATTGCATCTGTCTAAAAAATAACAGCACACAAGTTTGAAACGACATGAGGGCGAGTATATGTTCATTTACGGATGAGTTATTCCTTTATACTAACCAGCCCTAACTCACTAACCCGCAGTCTGTGCGCATCCATCCCTCCTTCACGCTCACGCTTTCCTCTCAGCCCTTTGTGAATCTCAAACGTTGCACTATTGGAAATGCACAACGGAAATGCAAATGTATTCCCCAATTGTAAGTTGCTTTGGATAAAAGTGTCTGCAAAATGACTAAATGTTAATGTAAATGCAAATCAGATTCTGTTCGTACCCAGATGAGATTTGCCTTAAAACAAAATAAACATGAATCTAATTTAAGTGCATGATTATTTGATGTTACATGTTATGCTTTTTAATGAAAAATAACATGCACTTGCATTATAAACATGTTTTGCATTCTCTCAAAATGTTAAAACATTCCCAGTTTTTTTTTTTTTTAATGATATTATTTTGAAGAGAAATAATCGAAGGATCCTTCTGAACTAAATTCGGCTGGTTGTCTTTGAATGTTTGGATTTGTTCATGTGCAATATGTGCTGGAAATAGTATGTGAACAGAACACATTATGTAATGAGATTTTGCATGTTTGTTTCAGCAAGTGGCATCTGATGGAAGCTTGTTTAAAAGCTTAGAAGCTCATAATTCGGACTTCTTTCTTGCAATTCTGAGTAAAATGTCCAAATTGTGAGATATGAACTCGCAATGAAGAGAAAAATGTCAGAAGTGTGAGATTAAAAAAAAATGTTAAATGACAAGTAAAAAAATAAAAATTGCAAGATATAATTCATTGAGAAAAAACAGAATCTTGAGAAAAAAGTCCAAATTGAAAAATAAAAATGTAGAATTGCAAAATATATTTCATAATTCTGAGAAAAAAAGTTGAAATTGCGACATAGTCAGGATTGCAAGATAAAAGCTGAGAAAAGTCAACATTTTGAGAAAAAGTTGAAATTGCGAGATGAAAACCATCTGAGAAAAAAGTCAGAATTTTTAAGAAAAACGATTAAAAACTCAGAATTTCAAGATAAAATTAATAGTTCTGAGATAAATGTCAGAACTTTGAGAAAATGTCATAATTGAGAGAGAAAAAGTCTTAATTTTGAGAAAAACAATTAAAATTGAGAAATATAAAGTCTGAATTGTGATATGAAAACCTGCAATTATGAGTGTATAACTTGCAATATACACTCGCAATTGAGAAAAATCCTTCAGATATCATTTATATTTCTGAGAAAAAATTGTGAGCTATAAAGTCTGAGTTGTGAAATAAAAAATTGCAGTTACCTTTTTATTTTTTCATTATGCGACGGGAAAAACAGAATTGTGAGATAAACTCAAAATTGAAAGTCAGGCAGAATTGAGATTATATCTAATTCTGAGAAAAAAGTCAGTTTTGTGAGATTCTTTTGAAAAGTCAGTCACAATGACCTTTTTTTTAATGATATTACTTTATTATTATTTTTATTTCGTGGTGGAAACAGGCTTCCATAGCATCCAAATATTCTTCTTGGAAACACATTTTTTTAAATTGTATTTTTAAATTCTGTTTTGTGTCCAAATGTCTTGACGTGTGGCCGTGGGTTGAGCACATTGCATCGTGGGCTACTGCAGGAATGCTGATGGTGTTTGTCTGCAGGTCAGAAGCGCTCATGATGAGCAGGTTTTCACACTACCTCACATTACCAGTTATTAACTCCACAGATCTAGCCCAGAACTATTACCAACAAACATGCATGAATGAAGAATGACAAAACATGAAGCCTCCAAATGCACATTCATTTCATGCTTATGGAAGGGTGGTTTTGTAGTTCTCATTAAATTGTAATTGAAATACAATCATTTTTAACAATAAATCAAACCATGATTGTATAAATACTTTATACTTGTTTGTATGAAAGTAATGAGATTTGGAGGGTTTTACCCAATTTTGTTTGTACCAAATTCTGTAAAGTATAACACCGCAGCTGCTCAGCTTTTATTTTCTTTTTTTCTTATTTGATTTTTGTTTTTTTTATTTTATTTCTTAATAGTGCATTCGAATTGCATCAGTGTGAATGTGAACTCTGAACAGCAAAAAAAAAAAAATTTTTTTCAATGTTTTTTGGGAGGGATACAGCAACAGTAACAAAATGTGCATTTGTAAATACTGACAAAAAGGCTCTTTTTTCACACTATTTTTGTTATTCATTCATCGGACCGAATCTGGTCATACTGTATTGACCTGTTGTAGGCAGATTTGAACGTTATAATATGCGTTGTTTTCTTAGAGTTTGTTTAGTCCATGTAATGTGTTCATTGCTGTTAATGTAATTCACATATACTGTCTTTTTAACCTTATAGTCTGCCAATATTTTTAATTCATTTTAGGGGATTCCCTTAGTGTTTACAGCTATTTTGAAATGTAAAAGAAAAATAAAGAAAAAAAAATTCTGCCCAACTGTTTATATAATACACTTTATGAGCTCCAAGATTTGCATGATTTTTAAAAATAATTTCCCAAAATGTTTTCATGTATTATGCATGTTTTTTTGAACGCTTTAAACTCTGGTAATATTCACCAGTGAGGTCGATCGCTTCAATCCTGGGATTCACTCTGTTCTGGTGGATTGTGAACACGAAAAACTGCCCAAAACTGACGAGTTGATGGCCTTCAAACCAGCGATTGTATTTTATACAGAAATACAACAGAATAAAAGACTTTCTGAGTCTCAGTGAGTTTTCTTTCAAAACAATGAACAGCTTCTGTAATCGTGAGTCATTATTTTCAGCATTTGTGTAATTACAATGTTCTCAGTCATGCTGTGATTGAACAGCTCTTGTGAATGAAACACAAAAGCAGAACATTAACAAAAGATACAACATTTATTCAAGTCAGCCTTAAAGTCAATAAAAACACTCATTCACACAAATCATTTGTGAATTAGAAAAAAACCCTACATTATACAGCTAATATGCAAAGCTTTATCTCTAAACCGTGAAGATCATCCAGCGGTTGAATGAGGGGCTTGTTGTTTTTCACCAGAAGTCGTCGTCTGGTTCCTCGCGGGACATCAGATCAGCGCTGCAGAACAGATTGAAGGTTGAAGATGTGTAATGAAGAGTTTCTCGTTGTTCAACAGTAACTCACACAAACACATTATTACCTGCGGTCATTATTCTCAGACTGAAGAACCTCCTCTTGACTTTGCTTCTCCGACGCCTCTTGATTTGGGCTCTGAAAGTTCATTAACACACAGTCAAATATAACTATATAGTTATGAAAAATATCAAAATAAAAACTGATTCAATAAAAAATATAATGATACTAAAATTATATATATATATATATATAGACTGCAATTTTAATAGATTAATAAAAAATGTAATTTGACAAACAATATACTGGATTGCAATAATCAGAATTAGAATCAACACTGAGTTAAAAATAACTTAACATTTTTAAATAAATTTTGGAGAAAAATGTCATAAAATGAGACATATCGGCATAATTTTTCATATCGGGCCGATGCCGACATTTACATTTAAAGACATAATATCGTGCATTCCTATAATAAAGGTAAAAAAAAATATATATATATATATATATATATATTCAAATAAAATATAGAAATATCCTGAAAAAAATTATTCTGTTCTCATGGAGAAATAGGACCTGGAAAATATGTAATTATGATACTAAAATAATATCGATATAAAACACACTCTCTCTCTCTCTATTAATTGTAATACTTTAATAAAAAAAAAATTTACCAAAAATAAAATAATGTACTGCAGTAATTACAATTAGAATCAAGAACAGTTTTAACACTGAAAAAAGTAGTACTAAGAGATTTGTTTACACTATAGTAAAGAGCATTTATGGAGAAAAATGTCAAAATGCTAAATAGATAGATGGATAGATAGATAAGTAGACAGACGAGTAATCCTAAAATATATTAAAAAAAGAAAGAAAATAAAACAAACATCCTGACAAACTGTCTGTGTTCTGATGCTGAAATGATGTCCAGGTACCTGCTCCTCCTGTTTGTCCTGCATGAGCATCATCATGTACTTGTGAAGAGGATTGGCCTCATCAGCTCCTCCTCCAATCGCTGCGCTCGTTAATGTCACATGAGCCTCTGCATCCTCTCTCTCGTCTCCAGCTTGTTCCTCGTGTTGATCCTCCTGAAGGAAGATGAAACACAAATCAAAGCTTGTAACAACCAGTCGTCTGAGAGTCACTGGATAAAACAAACTTGCTGCGATTCATGAACGGATGACTCTTATGAATCACTCAATCAAACGGACTCCTGAACTTGTGCTATAGGTTTGAAACAGGGTTATAATAATAAAAAAAGATTGATAACTTAAAAAGAAGTAAACACATTATTTAAAAAAAAATTAGCGGGAAATTAGCGATTAATTTCATTTAGTTTATTTCAGTTAAACTAAATGAAAATGAGATTTAAAAATATATATTTCAGCTTATTTTATTTCTCACTTTGGTTTAGTTTAGATTGATGTACTACAATAACTAAAATTAAAACTTAAAAACTATATAGAAATAAAATAAAAACTAATAAAAATGACAAAAACAACAAAATTACTAAAACTTTAACTAAAATGAAAAACAAAAGTTAAAATAATATAAAATATTTTTTTAAAAATGTAAAAAAAAAAAAAAGTATATATATATATATATA